GCCCCCCTAGGGGCCCCCCTAGGGGCCCCCCTGGGGGCCCCCCTGGGGGCCCCCCTGGGGGCCCCCCTAGGGGCCCCCCTGGGGGCCCCCCTGGGGGCCCCCCTGGGGGCCCCCCTAGGGGCCCCCTTAGGGGCCCCCAAGGGTATGGGGCCCCCTGGGGGCCCCCAAGAGGGTCTTTTTGCTGCTGAAGAAGAATTAAGATTTGCTGCTGCAGAGGACATTGGGGTGTCTCGACACCTGTGGCTGATACTGCGGCCGCAGGAAGACTTGAATGGACTTTCTTTGGATTTGCTGCTAGGGTATAGCAGCAGCAGCAGCAGCAGCAGCAGCAGCAGCAGCAGCAGCAGCAAAGAGACACAAGCAGCAAAAGAAGCAGAAGAAACAAAAAACAAAATCTCCTCGAGGGTCCTTCTGAGTACGGACTGCTTCGGGGGGCCCAGGTGCCCCTGGAAGGGGCTGCTGGCAGCAGCAGCAGCAAGGCCTGCAGCAGCAGCAGCAGCAGCAGCAGCAGCAGCGCCTGAGGCAGCAGCAGCAGCGCCTGAGGAGGCAGCAGCAGCGCCTGAAGCAGCAGCACCAGCGCCTGAAGCAGCAGTGACAGCGCTGCCAGAGGCAGCAGCTGCGGCATCGTCTGCAGCAGCAGCAGCAGCAGCAGCAGCAGCAGCAGCAGCAGCAGCAGCAGATCCGGAGTCCCCCAGCAGCAGGGAGCCCCTCAAAACCCCAGAATCGCCGGCAACGTCCCCCGAAAACGAAAGCAGCAGCAGCAGCAGCAGCAGCAGCAGCAGCAGCAGCAGCAGCAGCTCGCAAGAAGGACTGGGGGCCCCAGGGGCCCCCAGCAAGGGTTTGCGCCGAATCAAGGGTTTAGGGTTTGCAGTTTTATTAGGGTTTGGCTGCGGGGGGGAAAGCAGCGGCTGCAGCTCTATGGGCTGCCCCCACGAAGAAGAAGCAATTAGGGTTTACAAGGCGCTGCTCGAAACCCTGCACCCAAACGGCACGCAAACCCTAAACCCTAAACCCTAAACCCTAAACCCTAAGGGCTGAAGCTGTAGCTCGAAATAGTCCCTCCCAGAGGTGCCTGCCGCTCGCAGCTTGCGGCGAGGCAGCTTGCAGGCAACTCCCCCGTTCTCCTGCTCTAGGGTTTAGGGTTTAGGGTTTAGGGTTTAGGGTTTAGGGTTTGTATGAAGTGTCCAGCTGAAGCGCCCACCTAAGCCGGCGTGTGTTGCTGCGTGTGAGGGTTTTCTGCTGCGCGTGCGGCTCCCTGCGTCGGCGGGCTCGCGCGGCCAAGGGTTTAGGGTTTAGGGTTTAGGGTTTAGGGTTTAGGGTTTAGGGTTTGCTGCAGGGTTTGAGAGCAGCAGCGCAGCCCCCACGCAGTTCTTTTGGCCCTGGGATTTGGGCGGCCGCCTAATTGGCCCCAAAGGGGCAAATCGGGGGCGGCTGGCGCAGCGGACTGGGGGCTACTGTGCAGTGATAAATGAACGCAGAAAAGTAGGGTTTAGGGTTTAGGGTTTAGGGTTTAGGGTTTAGGGTTTAGGGTTTGGGGTTGGGGTTGGGGTTGGGGGCTGGGGGTGCGGCGCGGCGCGCGCTGCAGCGGCGCGGCCGCGGCTGCTGCGGCACTCACGGGGGCAGGAATTAGGGTTTAGGGTTTAGGGTTTAGGGTTTAGGGTTTAGGGTTTGCGCGCAGGGCCCCGACGGCAGGCTGTGGCGGAGGGTTTTGGTGGGGGGGCCCCTAGCAGCAAGACTTGCTGTTGCTGCTGAGCTTTTCCGGCTGCTGCAGATCAGCAGCAGCAGCACGCAGCAGCCTGTGCTGGGCCGCGCGCAGGCCAGGGCCATTGCCACCGTAAACCCTAAACCCTAAACCCTAAACCCTAAACCCTAAGCCCTAAGCGCTGAGCTCTGGAGGTCTTGCCAGGCACGCCGCAGTCCCAAACCCTAAACCCTAAACCCTCGACCCGCAGAGGCAAACGGCCCACTGATAGCTCTGGCCCGGGCTCCCGCTGCAGCCCCCTAAACCCTAAACCCTAAACCCTAAACCCTCAGTAGTAGGAATAACACAGCCATAAACCCTAATCAGGGTTTAGCGTGGAAGGCTGGCCAGCCGGCTCACTTTTCCTAAACCCTAGACCCTCTGCAGCGCACAAGAAGGGTTTCGGAGCGTGGGATTTGGTGTTAAGGGTTTAGGGTTTAGGGTTTAGGGTTTAGGGTTTAGGGTTTAGGGTTTAGGGTTGTTGAGGGTTTAGGGTTTATGGTTTCTTCAGGACCCTACAGTCCCGCTGACGCAGTGTCTGCACCTGCAGGCAATCAAGCAGCCGCAGCCAACCCCCGTTCTCTCTGGTAAACCCTAAACCCTAAACTCTAAACCCTAAACCCTAAACCCTAAACCCTAATTCCTTAAGCATAAATCTAAGCCCTAAACCCTAGAGCTCAGCGACGCTCGCCCCAGAGGGTTTTGCAGCAGCTTCATTTTGATTCCCCGAAGTGGAGGGTTTAGGACTTGAACTTGATGGCTTAGGGTTTAGGGTTTAGGGTTTAGGGTTTAGGGTTTAGGGTTTAGGGTTTGCTGTTCAGACCAATTCTGGGCCGACACGGTGGCAGCAGCAGCAGCAAACTGGCTGCAGCTATCTGTCCCCCTCTTTCTTAGGGGGCCCCCTGGGGGCCCCCCCCAGCTGTGGGGCCCCCCAGGGGGCCCCAGCAGCAGCGCAGCAGCAGCAGCAGCAGCAGCAGCTGCTGCTGCTGCATTTACTTCTTTTTGCCATAAAGCCCTAAGGCTGTGGGGCCTAGAGTTTGTTGCTGCTAGCTTTGGGGGCCCCCAGGGGGGCCCCCCAGGGGACCCCCAGGGGGGCCCCCTGGGGGCCTCTCAAGCTTTAGGGGGCCCCCCAAGCCCAGAAAGGCCCCCCCCAGCAGCAGCAACAGCAGCAGCAGCAGCAGCAGCTGCTGCTGCTGCTGCTTTCATGTCCGAAGCGGGGCCTCCAGGGCCTGCTGCTGCAGCAGGGCTCTCCGCAGTCCCTGCTGCAGCAGCAGGCCCTGAAGGCCCCACTCCAGCAGCAGGGGCCCCTGCTGCTGCAGCACGGCCTGCTGCTGCAGCAGGGGAACCTGCTGCTGCAGCAGGGGAACCTGCTGCTGCAGCAGGGGAACCTGCTGCTGCAGCAGCAGCAGCAGCAGCAGCAGCAGGGAAGGAAGTTTGCATGCATTTGATAATGAGAGGGTCTTTGTTTGCCTTAAATGCTGTTGGGTTTTTTGCTGTTAAAGATGTAGTTGAATACCTGGGCAGCTCGAGCTTCACCTGTGCTGACCCCATACAGTGGTTCTGCAGCAGCAGCAGCAGCAGCAGCAGCAGCAGCAGCAGCAGCGGCAGCAGCAGCAGCAGCAGCAGCAGCAGCAGCGTGGCTTGGCCGTACAGGGAAGACAGGTGGAAGCGCCTGGGGAAGGCGACGGAGGAGCAGCTGAATGAAATTTGCTGCTCATTAACTGCTGCTGCAGTTCCTGCTGCTGCTCTGCCTCCTATCCTTGCTGCTGCTGGTGCAGCAGCAGCAGCAGCAGCAGCAGCAGCAGCAGCAGAAACAGCACTCACTATCAACGGCAGCAAGTACTTTGTAAAGAATGCAGACATCAAGCGGCTGCTGCAGGGCCAGGGCAAGCCGTGGGTAGCAGCACTGCCAGCAGCCTGCAGCAGCAGCAGCAGCAGCAGCAGCTGCAGCAGCAGCAGCAGCAGCAGCAGCAGTGTGTTGCTGTGTCGCATCTCTTTGCTGCCGAGTCCAGAAGAGCGCCAAGAAGCGTCAGAGAGTGCTTGTTCTTTTCTTTGATAGTATTTATTTATTTATTTATTTATTTATTTATTTATTATTTATTTATTTATTTATTTATTTATTATTTTCTTTTTTTGGTCTTGCTGCTGCTCACTGAAACAGACAAAGTGCTGCAGCTGGCCTAGGCGCAGACGCAGCAGCAACCGGAAGTTTCTTTCAAGTTTTTATTTTCTCTTTTTTTCAATTTTAAATAATTAAACAAATTAAATAAACAAAAAGAATTAATTAAATTAAATAAAAAGTAAATAAAGTAAATGAAATAAATAAAAGCAAAAAGAATTAAATCAATTATCGAATTATAATTCCGCAATTCAAATTAATCTGCAAAAGTTCACTTCAAAAATTCTTTTTTGCAAATTTCCAAAAAGCATTTCAGTGGATCTTTTTCAAAAAATTAATTCGAAAGAATTCGAATTTGCAAATTTAATTACAAGTCCAAATTCCAATTTTAAATGGAAATTAAATTCTTTTAGTGTTCAAAGATGATCCATTTTTGCAAATGAAAAAGCGCAAATAAAGAAATAAATAAAAGTAATCAAAGGGCTTTTATTTGACTATTCAAAATAAAGAAAAGAAAAAAAACTTTTTTGATTTTTTGCAAAAATTCAAATCTGCAAATGGCGCCCAAAATCCCAAGTGTACGTACACCGCAGCCCCCGCAGCTCAAGGAAGTCCGGAAAGATTCGAAATAAAAAATAAATGAAATATAAATATAAATATAAATATAAATATAAGTATAAATATAAATATAAATACAAATATAAATATAAATATAAATATAAATATAAATGTAAATATAAATGTAATTAATTAATTCATTGAAAAGGAGCGAAAATGGCACTTTTGGAAAAAGCGCCAAAAGATTTCTTTTTTGTCTCAGAGTTTGTCCGCAAAAGAAGAAAAAGCAAAAATCTTCTTTTTTAATTTATTGATTTGTCACAAAGTGCATTTATTTCTTTTTTGAAATCAAATTTTTAATTTGAATTTAATTTGAACTTCATTTGATCGGGTGTATGTACACCCGAACCTGCTGCGCCTCGCTGGCTGCAGCACTTTTGCCTTTTCTTTATTTTTGCAATTTTCCACTTCTGCATTTATCTTTTATTCATTTAAAAAACTTTCATTTATTTTCTTTTCCTTTTATTCTTTCTACATTTCATTTCGCTTTTAATTTCGAGTTTCCATTTTCAGGTGTACGTA